ACATAGAACTTTGCACAAATGTGCACCAGTTCAAGTCGCCATACTCCCTCCGTGTAGCGCGCGAAGCAAGAGAAGAAAGTCCAAGAAAAGCATAATAGAGACAGTAAACAGAGGTATGAGACAAAGGAGTAATAAAGAAAAACAAAACAGTTTCATTGGAGATCATAAGTCATAGGGAGTGGATGCATTTGCACCAGCCATTGAGAACGATTTTGAGCCATATCACCAATTGTTTCCAACCATTGGTTTTTACCGTCCCGAGGACCCCAACCAGTCAGGAAGTCTACACCTTCCTACGTGGCTTAGACCAACTGTTGTGGATTTCATTGACTGGTGCCAAGTTTTTGTTTGACCGCCGCTACCTTTTTTCCAGCCTGGCCCTATGTCAGCTAACATTGCTGTCGTCGACGAAGGCGATGGCTAGGCTAGGCATCCGTAACACATGTCCTAACCATCTCAGTCTTTGTAACTTCACAACTTCGTCGATTGATTTCCCCTGTTTACCTAGAACTCGACGCCTAACTTAAATGTTGCTCACCTTATTATGCCACTTTACACGGGAGATAGAACGCAGGCACCTATGATCAAAGACATCCACTCAGCTGTTCATGTCTTCCACTCTCAGTGGCCAGGTCTCACAGCCATAAAGGAGGATGGAGTGAACTACTGAGCAGTACACACACCCTTTGGTCGATGACCGGACATCACGTCTACGTTGGTGACGGCGTAAACCGGCATATGCGAAACTAGCCCTCTGTATCCGTGCTGAGATTTCGTCAGAGATCAACCCGTTGGCGCTGGCTGATGGTACTTCCCAAATAAGTGAAGCGGTCAACGTGCTCTACCACTTCACTTCCTTTTTTTAAACTAGGCGTCGATGTAGTCCAGTCCTGTAACATCATCTTGCATTTGGCGGGAGCGAATCGCATGCCAAACATTCGTAGATTGCAGCTCAAGGTGTTTAGAAGACTCTGCATTTTGTCAGCGTCTTCGCCTAGAAGGACTATATCGTCTGCATATTCCAAGTCAACGAGATTATTCCCTGGTAGCAAGTCAATCCCTGAGTCGCTGAAGTCACTTAGGGTTAAGTCCATTAACACATCTATGATGAAGTTGAATAGAAAAGGGGATAATGGGCATCCTTGACGGACACCACTGGTCGTCACCAGTTCAGATGACAGCTCGCCGTAAGCCCTCACCTGGCTGTATGAGTACGAGTAGAGTGCCTTAATCAGTGCAATATATTTTCTCGGAATTCCCTTTACAGCCAAGCATCTCCAGAGAACTTCTCGATCGACAGAGTCAAGAAATATAATGACTGTTGGACGCCGGTAGGAATGCCTATGTTCTAGAATCTGTCGGAGGGTGAAGATATGATCAATACACCCTCTTCCTGGTCTAAAGCCTGCCTGGCTCTCTCGTGTTTGTGCTCCCGAGCACCACTCAGTCTACGCATGATTATTGAGCCTAAGACTTTAGATACTATATTAGTCAAGCTAATCCCTCTGTGATTATCACAGGAAGACTTGTCTCCCTTCTTGTATATGGGGATAATCAGTGACTTACACCAACCCGATGGGACTTCTTCTGATTCCCAGACGCTGCCTAGTACCTCAGTTAATCCAGACAGTAAGCTGTCTCCACCGTACTTAAATACCTCTGGAGTCATTCCATCAGGTCCCGCTGCTTTGCCTAGTTTCAGATTGGTGACAGCTTTAGTAACCTCAGTTAGGGATGGAGGACCTGTGTCTATATCCCATTCAGGGAGGTGTTGGATGCTCGGAAGGTTGAGCGTGGCTGTGGGCCAATTAAACTGCTCCTCATAATGCTCTTTCCAACGATCCAGTCGTCTATCCTGGGAGCTAATTATAGTGCCATTTTTTTCCGAGATTGTCTCACTAATGATTTGTCTTCTCCCACCCGTTTCCCTGATGAGTCTAAAGAGTTGCCTGGTGTTGCCTATCCTCGAAGCTTTCTCCATCTCTTTGGCTTTTGTCGCCCACCACTGTTCACGGTCCTTGCGGAGACTTTTCGTAAGTTTCCTCTTGTGCAGCTTTCGCTCCTCATTGAATTCGGAGCTCGCCGGAATAAGTCTTCTAGCATCTATCAGTTCGGATGAGGCGGTGGAGATCCAGTGGTTTTTACTCACCTTTGGGTTTACCTTATTCACAGCTTTTACAGCTGTATCTATGGCTGCCTGGATATTTTTCCAAGCTTCTTCAGGGTGAGCACAGCTGTCGAACACAGATATGTGTTTAGCTAGTTCTTCCTCAAATACGGATTTAGTTTCCTGATCGAGCTGGGGACGTGATGGTTTTACCGCCAGCTGTTTCCTACGTCCGTTCAGTCGTAAGCACACCCGAGCGCGGACCAGTGCATGGTCGGTATCTACGCACGTGTTCCAGAAGGAGCGACAATCTCCTACCGACCCACGCCAACGATAGCTTATTGCTATGTGGTCTATTTGTGTCCAGCGTTGGTTTGATGAAGGGGGTCTCCAAGTCAAACAGTGTCTCTCCTTGTGTTTGAAGTTAGTGCTTACAAGAAACAAATGATTATCAGAACAGAACTGTAGGAGACGGTCACCGTTGTCGGTTCGCTGGCACGGAACTCCATAGGTGCCACCGACATCCTTCTCAGATTGACACAATTTCCCTACTTGAGCGTTAAAGTCACCAGCTAGAACGACTATGTCTGAGCGTTTAGCCTTTCGCACCAAACTAGACAGCTTTTGGTAGAACTCATCCTTCGTTTCATCTGAACTGCAGTCAGTGGGGGCGTAGGCGGAGATTACGAAAAGGCATCGGCGAGTAGTGCAGTCCTTCCTCCTTTTTACTGATCCGTTCAGACGGACAGCACACATTCGGCTATCTACCGGGATCCAGTCAAGCAATGTCTTTTCTGCCCTAGTACTCAAAGCTATCCCTACGCCAGCTAATCCTCGTGAACTAGCTGTGGCATCTCCTGACACCCTCAAGGTGAATTTTGCAGATTCAACCTGTTGGCCAGGTGGGGTTAGGTGAATAACCACACTTGGGTCTTGTATGCGTGTTTCTGAAACACAGCATACATCAATGGCTCGTGATGCCAGGGTCTTGGCTAGTGATGCTTGTTGTCCTATTTGGCAAAGTGTCCTAACATTAAGAGCTCCTATATGAAATTGGTGGCGCGGCTTTAAGAGGCTGTCGGTGGTGGTTTTTTGGCTTCCATCGTTTTTAGTGGACGCAGAGTGGAGAGGAAGTGGAGAGCTATCAAGTCGAGGAGTTGCATCAGTGGAAGGAAGGCAAGATGATAGAGATGAAGATGAAGACAAAGATGAGTGAGTAATAGAGAGGTTTCGCGTGCATTTCGGATTGTGAGGGCGATTGTTACTTCCCGGCTGCCCACACCGTGGAAGTTGGTTGCGTGACCGCAGAGCCCAGGGGACAACTGCTTGAGGCCGGTCACACGCGGCCTGTTTTTGTTCGTTCTTTTTGTTTGGTGTGCCTCAGTAGCATATTTATCACTCCTGCCCTGTGACACGGCAGCAGGAAGCGCGGTCGTTGTTAATCCGGGCCACGGCCGATCCGGCATGAAATTTTGTGATTTTGTATTATCATGATGTTGGATTGGGTAGCTGCTTTTTGTTTAACCGCTATCCAAACAACCTGCCTGGCATGGTAGACCTCAAGAGACATAAGTCTCAGCCAGTATAGCTTGAATAGATCATTGCGGTGTTCAAGCCCGACCACCACGTCAAGGTAGCAGCTTTCGGTCGGTCAGACTGAGCAGCCACTGTACCCGCAGCTCCAACCTTGTATCTCAGGTAAAACAAGAAGTCTTTTTAGAAGAATTTACGCACGTACGTCTAAGTATAAAAATTCCACTATACCATATTTAGCGGTATGGATATTATGTGATGAAAATGGTCTCAGGCATGAACTAACTAACCTTCTTTGCACTACTAAATAAACCATTTCTTCCAGCCTTACAGTACCAAACTTTGTTGTTATTGTATTTGTTATATTTATAATCCTCTCAATTTTTTGTTTTTATTTATTTATTTTTCATAAGTGTGAACATCGTTTAAGCTGTGTTACCACTGTTAATCTTGTATTTCCCCTCACTATACTACATCAATAGAACATTAGATTCAATACTCTATAGTAACATGCTAAAATTTTTCGAACTGAATCGACAATACTGTTTGAAACAAACTCACTGTTATTATTACTATTGTTATTATTATTAATATTTAATGATCTCACTTCTTGCTTAGAATATTTTTGACTTTATAACGTAAGCGCGGACAAATTCCTCTGGTTACTTTGTTTTAATTTTTAATTTTATTTGTATTTCGAGTAAATCAGATGGAATATTGTAAGAAATGCTGAGAATTCCGTTCTGTATTTTAAGTACTGTTTTTGGAATGAAGTATAAATAAATTATTAAAATTATTATAAAGTTTTGGGCATTCAACTTTTTTTTGTTTCCTTCATGTTCCCCAGTGGAACTTAGGGCTTCAAGCTAGTGGCTTGAAGTTTCTGTAGCAGTGTTTATTTTACAGGATAGGGTTGGGTTCTAACCTCATGCCCAACCTTTCCTCTTTACCAGCATTATTTCCGGCTTAGCGAAGTAAAAGGAGTGCGTTGGTGGCCAGGATCGAACCCCGAACCATGTGCATGGTTGGCGAGCGTCCTAACCGCTATGTCACCGACGCACCATTTTTAATTTTAATCACTTGTAATAATATTTATCTGTAAGATTTTTGAAGGGTAAGAATGGATTATCTTTGGTTAGCAATAATTATAATAATCAGACAAGAGCTCATTTTGAGCAGTTATACAAATTCAAACGACCTATGCCTATTTGTTTTTTAACTCATGTCAAAAATCTGTTTGTGTTACATGGTACGTCTAGTGCTTATGTATTTAATAAATAAATCTTTAGAATTTTATCGATTGTATTATTCATATGAAGTGGAATCAAAATTTCTCTCTCTCTCTTTCTTTTTACCTAAGGTTCTCAACCTCATCCGCGTAACAAAGTGCCCGTACCAGGTATTTATCCCATCGGTGCTGATGAGCACATAGATTTTGTCGATGATGAGTATGATGATATTGTACTCCCTGAAATGGCACATTGTGCTGGTCCTGCATGTATAATGGCAGCTATTCCTGGCGAAAAGTACTGCTCTGAATCCTGTAGACTTAAGCATATCAGGTAAGCACATTTCCTCCTTCAAGTTTTAGTCCTCAATAATATTTTTCTCAATTCATTTGTCTGTGTCTTTCACACCACTATCACCAGACTAAAATATCCACCGTGTATATTCTTATTGTTAAAAAAATCAGATTTAAAATATAATGAATAGCATAATTCTAAGAAAAAAAATGATAACATATTCTCTCTTTCAGTTCCCGTGGCAGCATTCGTCCAGGTGTTACAAATTCTCGTTCTGGAATGAATAGTCTTGCCTCTCGTGAAGTTAATGCCATTCCGTAAGTCCCTCGCTAAATTGATTCTTTTCATAGTAATTTAGAGCGTACTCTTTGGAATTTATATATATATATATATATATATATCCCTAATTATACACCATATGTAACTGGTTTCACGAGGAATGAAGAGAGGTTTATTATTATTATTTCCTTTAATGCCTAGAGGAACATAGGGCTTCAATCACGCACGTCTCCAGTGCGTTCAGTTCTCTGTCAACGTTTTCACCTGGCTCCAGGTCTGCCCACATGATTTCATCTCCTCTTCACATGACCTCCTCAAAATCACCCTTGCACTGACGACCAACTCCCCGCTTCCCTTTCGGGTTCCACTCGAGCGATGGCTTGTCTAGTGATGTCACTTGCTGGTTTCCTCAGAGTATGGCCAATCCATTTCCATTTCTTCCTTCGTTGACCGACAGGCAATGTTAGCTGACATAGGGCCAGGTTGGAAAAAAGGTAGCGGCGGTCAAACAAAAACATGGCACCAGTTAATGAAGTCTCCAACAGTTAGTTTAAGCCACGTAGGAAGGTGTAGACTTCCTGACTGGTTGGGGTCCTCGGGACGGTAAAAACCAATGGTTGGAAACAATTGGTGATATGGCTCAAAATCGTTCTCAATGGCTGGTGCAGATGCATCCACTTCCTATGACTTATGATCTCCAATGGAACTGTTTTGTTTTTCTTTATTACTCCTTTGTCTCATACCTCTGTTTACTGTCTCTATTATGCATTTCTTCTACTTCTCTTGCTTTGTGTGCTACAAGGAGGGAGTATGGCGATTTGAACTGGTGCAAATATGTGCAAAGTTCTTTGTCGAAAACAGACACACGAAAAACCAGATAGACTTTAATCTCAAGAAAGTGGGAAGGTAGTCCTAATGGACACAAGATCGAGAAGTGGAATAGCCACACTTTCAAACCAATACTTGGTGTAAGGAGCTTACAAGATCAAGTTGAAAGCACCCAAAGGATCTATACATATACCACAATTCAGTCTCAATACTCGGAAACAGAGGGGTGAGGCTACAAAAGCCACCTTCAAAGCAGTCATCAGAAAAAAATGGTAGCATCAAACAATCTGGGTGAAAGAACAGTACGATTCTTTGGAAGCAACGTAAAAGGAAACCTGTACAGACATACATCATAGCCAAGAAAGAGCAGGCAAGACAAGGAATGACTCTCTACAGGTGCATGGAGGCTGATAGAAAAGGGAAATGGTGAGGCAGGTGATAAACCACTGTAGAGTGGGGAAGTAAAACCTATGCAGCACTGAACAAAGAAGTGAAGAAAAGTACTAGGAAAGACAAAAGACAGTTTTACGATGCGCTAACAGCTGAAACCCAACAGGCCACAGGTAAGAAAAGCCTCAGAACATTATATGGGATCACCAGGTCGCAATCTGAGAGGTAATGAACACAGATGAAGGCCAATGAAAGGCACTGAAAGGGAACCCATACGCCAAAGAGGTAGAAAAGAAGAAATGCTGGGCTGGTCGATTCAGACGACTCTCAAATTGATAACCATCAGCAAACCACTCAGCAGACACAGACTGTCTGTCTGTCTGTTTTCGACAAAGAACTTTGCACATATTTGCACCAGTTCAAGTCGCCATACTCCCTCCTTGTAGCACACAAAGCAAGAGAAGAAAGTCGAAGAAATGCATAATAGAGACAGTAAACAGAGGTGTGAGACAAACGAATAGTAATAACGAAGAAGAAAACAGTTTCATTGGAAATCATAAGTCATAGGAAGTGGATGCATTTGCACCAGCCATTGAGAACGATTTTGAGCCATATCACCAATTGTTTCCAACCATTGGTTTTTACCGTCCCGAGGACCCCAACCAGTCAGGAAGTCTACACCTTCCTACGTGGCTTAGACCAACTGTTGTGGATTTCATTGACTGGTGCCAAGTTTTTGTTTGACCGCCGCTACCTTTTTTCCAGCCTGGCCCTATGTCAGCTAACATTGCCTGTCGGTCGACGAAGGCGATGGCTAGGCTAGGCATCCGTAACACATGTCCTAACCATCTCAGTCTTTGTAACTTCACAACTTCGTCGATTGATTAGCCCTGTTTACCTAGAACTCGACGCCTAACTTAAATGTTGCTCACCTTATTATGCCACTTTACACGGGAGATAGAACGCAGGCACCTATGATCAAAGACATCCACTCAGGCTGTTCATGGCTTCCACTCTCAGTGGCCAGGTCTCACAGCCATAAAGGAGGATGGAGTGAACTACTGAGCAGTACACACACCCTTTGGTCGATGACCGGACATCACGTCTACGTTGGTGACGGCGTAAACCGGCATATGCGAAACTAGCCCTCTGTATCCGTGCTGAGATTTCGTCAGAGATCAACCCGTTGGCGCTGGCTGATGGTACTTCCCAAATAGGTGAAGCGGTCAACGTGCTCTATCACTTCATTCCCTTTTTCCCAAGCTAGGAGTAGTCCATGTAGTCCAGTCAGTCCTGTAACATCATCTTACATTTGGCTGGAGCGGATCGCATAGCAAACATTCGTAGATTGCAGCTCAAGGTGTTTAGAAGACTCTGCTGGATTTTGTCAGCGTCCTGGCCTAGAAGAAGGACTATATAGTCTGCACATTCTAAGTCGACGAGATTATTCTCTGGTAGCAAGTCAATCCCTGAGTCTCTGAAGTGAGTTAGGGTTAAACCCATTAGTACAACTATGATGAAATTGAATAGAAAAGGGGATAATGGGCATCCTTGACGGACACCACTAGTCGTCACTAGTTCAGATGACAGCTCGCCGTAAGCCCTCACCTGGCTGCATGAATTCGAGTAGAGTGAGTGGCTTGATCAGTGCAATGTATTATTTTCTCGGGATTCCTTTTACAGCTAAGTATCGCCAGAGTACTTCTAGGTCGACAGAATCGAATTCCACCTTTATGTCAAGAAATATTTTGATTGTTGGACGCCGGTAAGAATTCCTATGTTGTAGAATCTGTCGGAGGGTGGCATTGTGATCAATACACCCTCTTCCTGGTCTAAAGCCTGCCTGACTCTCTCGTGTTTGTGCCTCCCGAGCACCACTCAGTCTACGCATGATTATTGAGCCTAAGACTTTAGATACTATATTAATCAGGCGTATATTAGATCAAGCGTAGTGAATTATGTTACCATTGACTGGTTTTTAGAACTAAAACGGAGGTAGCATTGGTGTTGAATAATCTCAGAGCCCAAGTGACTACTGGTTGAAGGGTCAGCTGCGCACGATCTATTCGAAATGGCTTTTTGAGTTGTACCCGTATATATGAAAGTCTTATCTCTGTCTGCAGACCACTGCAGGAGGATAAGTCGGAATGTACAGTTTTCGAATTAGACCCCACCCGTCTCCATACGAAATTGGGGGCAATATTTCAGGCTTGTTGCTTGTTTGACGGAGACACTGTCAAACACCCAACGTGGTACACATGACTTATGCTGTTGCGGTAATTGGACTGAATATAACTACCATTTAAGTGACACTTGTGATGGTGGTGGTATGCTAGCACCTACAGGAACATTTCTCACTAGTAGTGTATCTCGTGTTAAATAACTGCGATACGGAAGCCCGACCACCATCTGAAACTGACAACTACCAGTCGAAATATCTTGGTCGTATTTGAGTAAGACTCTGTATCTTCTTACTATTGCTGATGTTATTTTGTATGTTCCTCTTCTTGTAAAACTTATACGATAATGTCACAGCTGTTTTTTTGACGACCTAATGAAACTTGCCTTTAGGTGTCGACTGTGTAACCTGATTGAGGAAGATACCCTGTTGAGTAAAATGTTTATGCTTTCCCCAGGGCAGGCTACGCTTATTATATGTGAAAGCTATCGATAAAATTAGTCGACCAGGTTGAATTAGATAGATCAGTACTCGAACCCAGAACCCAGTGACTAGTACTAAACAAAGACTATTAACCAAACAACACTATATGGCGGTGGTTGACATACGGTCAACTGATCACGGTTTTGTTTGATCTAAAATATATGGGCACATAATCAAAATTCGGAAACCTTTTTGTGTAAATATACATAATAAACCTTTAGTGCGTTCAAATATCCGCATAGAATAAAACTAGTGTTTCAAAACATTGAGTAGTAAGTAGGTGTGATGACTTTTCGTCTACAATGTCTGTGAGTAGTCCCAGACTAGGCTGTCTGTCTGTCTGTTTTCGACATAGAACTTTGCACAAATGTGCGGAAGTTCAAGTCGCCACATTTCGTGTAGCACGCGAAGCAACAGAAGAAAGTACAAGAAAAGCATAATAGAAACAGTGAACAGAGGTGTGAGACAAAGGAGTAATAAAGAAAAACAAAACAGTTTCATTGGAGATCATAAGTCACAGGGAGTGGATGCATCTGCGCCACTGAGAACGATTTTGAGCCATGTCACCATTTGTTTACAACCATAGAGTTTTACCCTCCCGAGGACCCCAGCCTGGAAGTCTACACCTTCCTACGTGGCTTAGACCAACTGTTGTGGATTTCATTGACTGATGCCAAGTTTTTGTTTGATCGCCGCTAGGCTGAAGAAACAGCTATCCAATACTCCCTAGTTTTGCAATGGTTTTCTAACTGATGTCAATTTATGGCATAACCTGAAACAAATAAAATCCCTACAAACTAATTCTGATGCTTGCTAGTGACCGGCTGGCTACAGGAGGGAGTTTTACTGAGAAGTCGTGACTAGTGGGTTTCATCCAGTCGGGAGTGAGGATGGAGTTTCTGACGATGACATTGGTTGGTGCCAGTTGCGCTAAAATCGCGCATTGGTAGAAGTCAGAATTCATGGGCTGGTCATTCAAGGGTCGAGCTCCAGTGGCTGAATGATATATGAGCTAGCTTGCCTTGTAACCAGAAGTTGTCCTGGGTTCGAACCATAGAAGTTGGTGCGTACCGCCGATGAGTAGTCCCAAACTAAGTTGACGAAACAGCTATCTGGCAGTACTCCCTGTGGCTGGTTTTTAATGGTGCTCTAACTGATGTATCAATCCGTTGTCTAACCGTTCTTTTGAACACACAGCTCCGACTTTCCGATGCATATTGCGAGGGTTTCTGCAGTACAGAAAAGTTGGAAACATACTGCTTTTGGTAGGTTTCCGTTGACTTTGTAAATTACCTTGAATGAATCAGCTGAGATTTTGTGGGAAGTGTTGATCAGATGTTCAATAATGACACTTCTGATTGAACCGGTACCTCCTCTTTGCAGCTACGTTGGGTAGTGTTCTCTAACACATTTTGAAAGGACACTCATACAATGACCTATGTACCTTGCTCCGCACGAGCAGGTGAACTGATATATGCACATTGAATTGGAGAGTTTGTCCTTCGCATTGTTTAGAAGTATTGGGCAGCTAGAAAAGGTCACTTTTAGTGTTGCTGCAGGGAAGGTCTTCTTTAAAGATCTGGATATTCTTCTCTTCAGGATATCAGCTGGCAAATCTCCCCTGAAATTCAGATTCATATAGAGTTATATGAATGTATAGACCGGACTACTTCGCCTCCCCTCTAAACATTTAGAAATTGTAATTGTCCAAATTATTTTATTTATTATTTTTTCTGACCACTTCATCTTTAATTACGTGTTATCCTTGTAAAATTAATTTATTCTAACCATTTCTACCTTTTGATTGGGTGTATTGAATTTCTTCCTTAATTATCACCACCGCCTTGACATTTTGACACTGACTAATTATTGTTAACAAACATATCAGTGCCACTTGATTGGTAAACTGTTGTGCATTTAAGTAAAAATACTATACGTGTATATTAGAGTAGAGCCAGAGTGAGATGAGGATCTAATTGAGAAGTAAATATTTCTTCGCCCAATCTTTCTGTTTTCTAACCTGGAACAAATAAAATAAAGTGTGCACACCTTTATCAACAACTGTCTTCGCTCTATACTGAAGATCAGATGGCCGGGCCGGAAAGAATCACCAACAAGAAACTATGGGAACAAACAAAACAAGAACCAATCGCCCAACCAACAAATATGCAAGAGAAAGTGGAGATGGATTGGACACTCGCTGAGGAGGCCGCCGCTAGGTGACATCATGCGTCAGGCCATCGCTCGAGTGGAACCCGAAAGGGAAGCGGCGAGTGGGACGTCAGTGCTAGGGTGACATGGAGGAGATTGTGTGAAGAGGAATTGAAACAGTATAGACTAACATGGATGCATGTGAAAAGTACAGCACAGCAGAAGACAGAAGCAAGCAAGTGGAGAAGTGCAGTTGAAGCCGTATCTTCCACTAGGAACCCAAGAGAACAATAATAATAATAATTTATCAGTTCACCTGCTCTTGTGAAGCAAAGTATATTGGTCGTAGTCAGAGGACGCCTTCCACACGGATAAGAGAACACATTCCAGCCACATGGTTTTACAAGGGAGAAGGGAAGTGTGTACAAATCTCTGTTCTGGAATACCTGATCGACTTCTGTCACTCGGTCAAACCTGACCATGATTTCAAGATCATATATAGAATCCATGCTAACTTGCCAGCCGCGTTTTCTTCTTTACAGACTTCTAAAGACAGCTAAGGACTTTGCAATTCATAACTTTAAGCCAGATCTTTGTGTACAAAAGAAGTATGTACACTCCCTACTTCTACCTTGGCCGTAGAGGGATAGACATTTGTTTATTTAGTTTTTCTATGTGCTTTCCCCTCATTAGTATGATTATTATTATTACTATTCTCACTCTGAATCTTTTCCATTTGACCCACTTGTCATTTTAAACCCAAAATTATTAATTTTTATATTTTTTATTTTCACAGTATTGAATTCTATCTTAACAAATTTCACGCCATATTATGTAACATTTTATATTCGTCTACTAATCCCATAATTATGTACCCCTTTACAAAATCTATACACCTTATGTATTATTCTATATATGACATTAATTATTTTGCCACTTGACATTAAACCATGATTATGATCACTAACATTTTAGTTTTAATTGCATTTCGTACTATTACTATTTCATGTATTCACACCTTCGACTTAATTCCCTCAGCGGATATAATTTCTTGAAAACAACCCATATATATATATATATATATATATATATATATATATATATATATACGATTGTACAGCTTGACAATAAATTCGTTGTTGAAAAGAGTCTCTTTGTTGAATATTGTGTTCTTAATGCTGCAATCGGAATTATTAAATTTTTTGCTCCCTTTCTTTACTGAAGTATCTTTAAGGGAAATTGATGTAGGTTTTACAAATGACTCTTCTAGTGGTAGGTAATTCTTTTTATGTTTAAAAAGTACCGTAATATTGCGTTATATGTATATGCATATGCACAAATATTTAATTGGTGTTTATATCCTTTACATTTTTTTTCAAGGTATTTACTACCCTATCCAGATCATATGTACTGCAAACATCATCGTTTTCAAAGCTGGCATAACAATGCTTCTCCATCCTATCGATCCAGCAATCATCCACAGCCTTTTGATCCATTCACTATTGATCAAGCCTATATTACTGCTGATAACTTCCGTCAATCACGTGGTCATCCTATGTATAGATGTACTCAAGGCCCACCAATTCCTCGAATAGCATCACAACGACACCCTAATTCTCATCCAATTTTAATTAATTCTAACAATCGATTGAATAGCTTGGATGATCAAAGTCATGCTATGATATGTGATGTGAATGATACAACTGCATTTATCGACTCTATGACTTCAATAGTTCGTAGAAATAATAATAATAATAATCATACATTTGGTGAAGATCTTTGCATCGATCTACCATCTACTCATCCTTCATCTACTGGAACGCATTTATCCTCATCACCAAATTTCTCTGGTGTTAATTCATGTTATACTGGATCACATCGTGGTGATAATATTCGATCAGTTGTTGATTTTCACACTGTAGTAGATGGTGATCCATCATCCGGTTTACCAGGTGATGTAGACGACGACGACGGTGATGATGACGGTGACGGTGATCGTGATGGTGAAGATGAGGACGATGATGAGGCGGCAGCGGCGGCTAATGTTGATCATCATCAAATAATTACTGATGTTAGTGGTCATCCTGTTTACGGTTATTATATGATTGGTTATAGTAATGAAACGAATGGGCATAGTAGTTCACGTGTCCCCTTGACTCCTACTACAGCTTCTGTGTTAAACGATCGTCGTATGCCCACGGGTTCTTTACGTGCTAATATGCATCATAGTCGAACGTTGAATCATAGAATGGTGACACAACAACAACACCAACACCAGCATAGTAATGGTGAATCAATAATGACAACAGCAACCACTACAAACGGTGGTCTACCTTCTGGTTATACTATTTCTAATCGTGGTGTTGTTGGTGCTGGTAATCTTAACCTACGACATCCTAATATGAATATTCTTCCTGGGACAATAATGAATCCAGATGATAATTGTTGTTTAAGTCCATCAGAATCTACACAAATGAATGATATGAATGCCATCGGTTCATCTGCCGTAACAAATTCTAATGTTGTAATGCCAAATTCTGTCCCAGCTTATATTCCCGGTCCTGATGAATTTTATACAATCAATGATTCTGACGATTTAGAAATTAATTGGCCACAAGAAACAGTTGCTGGAGTTAATGGTTAAGTGTTGTTTTTTAGCGCTGTATTTTATTCAGTGATACATATATTTATATATTACTGGACTGTGAGTTTGTGTACCTATTATTATTATTATTATTATGGTGTAAACCCTGATTATCGATCGATTGAGTGAGTATTTGGGTGGAAGTTCTTGACATAACTCTCTCTCTCTCCCTCTTTCAGATTTATTTTATTTTTATTTAACAAAAGTTAGCTAGCTCTGTAACACAGCAGTTTTGAGTACTGCTGCCCATTGTGTGTGTGTGTGTGTGTGTATGTATGTATGTATGTATAGAGTACTTCAGCAATTTTTTGACAATTAGACACCAAATTAAATCGTTTCGGTTTTTTAAAAACCATTCAATAAAACATTCTTTGGATTCTGTATATGTTCATATTTCTTTCTTCGTTTTTTGTTTAAAGTTTCATTGTTTTTATTATTATTTTTTCATCGTATATATATCATTTTCTATTCCACACCCTTTTACTCTGAAAAGAAATATATTATAAAAGGCGCCGAAATTGTAAAATTCTCTCTCTTCTTGCGCGTTTATCGAACAATAACAATACCAAAAGTAATGATTACAAAAGCGATCTTTATTTGTGTACATACGATAAATTTAAATTCTCTTATCTCTGTGTGAGCGTGCGTGCGTGCGTGCATGTATACTCATCATCAATCACTCACTTCATGCGCATGCCTATTCATATGTTCAAATATCCCTGTTTTTTCTGTCTCCCTTTTTTGTGCTTATTGTTTCGCATTTTTTAAAATTTTATCATTAACTCACTCCCGTTTTGTCTCTCACTTCATCTCTATCACACCAACCCCGGGCCACTCAATAATAATTTCCATCCGTTTCATCTTCACTAGTGATATATGAGTATTAGTAGTAGTATAATGACAGTAGTAGTAATAGTAGTGGTTAAGAAGGGAACTCTCTCCTCTCTCTCTCTCTCACTATTCATTCTCTGATATCTTCTGTCCATTGTTTGTTTTACATGTGTGTGTATGTGTGTAATAGTTCTTGCTGATAGAGGTGACGATGATGATGGTGATGATGTTACTACGTTCTCTCTCTGCCTGTCTGTTTCTTTCTCGTTTTCCTTTCATTTTCGATCTCCAGAAAACAAAAGCAACTCACTATTTCCTTCTTTTTTGTGTGGAGGTGGCGATAGGGGTAGACAATTACCCCTTTCTCTGTTTAGAATAACATTATTGCTATTGCCAGAAGTTATTATCATTATTAATAATAATATTATTACTGCTACTATGATAATTCATCATATTATTCAAAAGTATTGTTGTTTGTTTGTTTGTGCGTGCGTGTGCGTGTAGGTGTGCGTTTTCGACAGCAGTGATTACGTCACCACCATCATCATCATGTTAGTCCAGTAGAGAGAGACAAATAGTTAGTTATTTGACTCAATTACACTGTGATTAGCAAATCATATCTGTTATCGATCGATGTAAAGGAAAACGGTATTGTTTGAAAGCAAAAAAACGTTTTGGTTGTTTTTCCCCTTCATTTCACTTATATGACAGACATTCTTAACTGTGCCCCTCGTCGTTGTCTCTCCCCCCTCTCACTTCACCTGACACAAATTTGTAAATAATTTTAATATATATATATATACTCATGCTCATAAATCTATTCAACAAAGAAACCACCCACAAAAGTTTTGTTGTTATTCTTGTTGTCTTATTTTTAATTCTGTCTTTTCCTGTAAATTTTTTTATTTATTTTAACAATTACAATTATAACTATGCAATAAAGTATAACAAGAATAATCATAATAATAATAATGATAACAATAATAATATATATAGTTATGATAATGGAATAAGTGCATTTGTTAGTTCATTTGTCGGTGTGTGCCTGTGTGTGTGAGTGTGCGTGCGTGCATCCTATTTGTCCTCATATACACATATATATATATATATATATATATATATATATATATATATATATATTTCTCAGTACATAGGTTGTTTATTCACACTCTCTCGTGTCATTAGTCATTACCTATCATCATCGTAACGCTTGTAATAATAATAATTCATCATCTCTGTAGATACATGTATATTGTTATAATTAGTGAAAAGAATATTAATTTTGAATGCGATTTAATATTACTGACACCATCTGTACAGATTGTTGAATTCTCTTCCTGTAAATTAAAAAAAAAGTGTGATTATTATTATATTATCGAGTGATATAGTTAGTTAGAAATAAAAAAAGAAACTGTAAAGCATTTCACTCTTTCTTCACAAGATCTTTGCTAGTTGATTGTGACAGTCTATCTATATCTATCTATATGACGTGAATATTGATCGATCTGAAAGGGAAGATCTAGTTTTCAGTTTTGTTTGATCGGTTGAAGGATTTAACTATGAGCTGGCACCAGTTAGGGAAACATTGGAAAACCACCTGGGAGTACTGGACAGCGAGTTACTTCGTCCCGCTTTGCAACTTTTCAGAAGTACGCACCCAAACTGGGGTTCTAGTGGGAAGTTGTGACCAGTAGGGTACAGCAGCAGGTTGAAGGTGAGGCAGTGACTCATTGAAGAAGACAATTGTGAAGTGGTCACGCTATGTCATGAATTGGCAGAAGTTAGAATCCATGGGCTGGTCATTGGATTGGTGTGTTTCAGTTCCAGCTTAATGGTCTCTGTCTGAGTTCGCTCGCCTTGTAACGAAAAGGTCCTGGACTTGAACACCACCACGGTGTGTGTGCGTACTGATGAAGATTTCCAGGCTGGTGAAACACCTGGCTGTCCAGTAGCACTACTAGAAGATCTAAAATTCCCTAAGGTAGTTTTCTTTTCGACAAATTCGCATCAGTAGGTTGAAAGTCATGAGAAATGTTGCATACAGTTAAAACTTCGTTATTCTGGTATTGTATCGTGGTCGTGTATGTATGTGCCACATTTTATTTTTATGATGGCTAGTGATATCGCCCAAGTTGTGAAGTTTAGAGTGGAGCAATATTCAAATCTAGGGCTGGCTTGCTAGCTAAACGTGAAATACTTAAGCACCAATGACGAGCAGCCAGTCTCATCACCAGTATATAAAAATCCGCCTGAGGTATGGCGTTGTCATCCATCGAAGAAGAGATTATTGGATGAATAAAACGTCAAGAAATAGAGAATAGTTGCCACTATTGTTATTTAAACGGGTCATCTTTCTCTAAGTCTTATCAATAGTCTTCTATAGCTTAAAGATGATCTGCCTACCGATTAAAGGATACGAAATTTATATCTTAAGTACTAGAAACTTGTCTTTTCCCAACAAAAGAATTTCGCGTACTACCTGATAACTTGATGTATCCAGGTTTTAAAATTCAGCTATTCGAGACAGATTTCTCATATAGGAGGAGGCTATCAATGTCACACCTGTAATATGAGACGACCAGTGTTGTGTGGGATTCCAACCAACCAATGGATTGAAAGCTGATGCTAGCGGCGAATTGTTAGTGTATATGTTTAAAAGCTTGAAAAAGAAAGATTACTTAGATAATATGTTAACAGTTCTAATATTTGCTTTTTTATTCAGGTCGCTTTGAATTCTTTTTTATTGACCTTTTTTGTCTTTACTTCTTAAAATTGATGTCATCTGACCTGACATACCTATTATCGCCTTTAGAGTGTTTGTCTATGTGTGTCTTTTCGTTTATGGATGACTCATAAAAATAACAAAATGCTCTGGATTCATATTTGATTAGTGTTCGACTATCGACCAAAGGGCGGGTGTACTGCTCATCAGTCCGCTCCGTCCTCCTTTATGGTTGTGAGACCTGGCCACTGAAAGTGGAAGACATGAACAGCCTGAGTGGATGTCTTTGATCATAGGTGCCTGCGTTCTATCTCCCGTGTGAAGCGGCATAATAAGGTGAGCAATATTGAGGTTAGGCGTCGAGTTCTAGGTAAACAGGGGAAATCAATCGACGAAGTCGTGAAGTTACAAAGACTGAGATGGTTAGGACATGTGTTACGTATGCCAAGCCATCGCCTCCCTCGACGAGCAATATTAGCGGATATAGGGTCAGGCTGGAAAAAAGCTAGCGGCGGTCAAACAAAAGCATGGCACCAGTCAATGAAATCCACAACAGTTGGTCTAAGCCACGTAGGAAGGTGTAGACTTCCTGACTGGTTAGGGTCCTCGGGACGGTAAAAACCAATGGTTGGAAACAATTGGTGATATGGCTCAAAATCGTTCTCAATGGCTGGTGCAAATGCATCCACTTCCTATGACTTATGATTTCCAATGAAACTGTTTTCTTCTTCGTTATTACTATTCGTTTGTCTCATACCTCTGTTTACTGTCTCTATTATGCATTTCTTCGACTTTCTTCTCTTGCTTCGCGCGCTACACGGAGGGAGTATGGCGACTTGAACTGGTGCACATTTGTGCAAAGTTCTATGTCGAAAACAGACAGACAGTGATATCAAAATGTAAGTTATTGTGAGAATTATGCCATCTTATATAAAGGGATGCCAAGGTGTGTAATGATCTGAACGCGAGCGAACGACTCAGTAACCATACTAATTTATAATTTAATTGGTGGATAGTGACTAGCAGTGGAATCCAGGATAAGGCACATTTCGTCCTTTTTGGGACTCGTCAACTGGGTGTACCTGCATTTCCCAGTCACTGAGTGATGATGTCCCCACCGAGGCTGGAACCCAGTTATGCCCATAGTTTCAAACACCAAAGCGTTATCCACTGGGCCACGAGAGACATGCTCTTGTGCAACTGGTCATATTATTTTTTTAATTGAAATTTAGATTTTTCGGTCGATTAATTGGACCGAAGTGCTGACGAGTCCCAAATAGGGGGAATGCGCTTTATCCTGGATTCCACTGCTAGTCATCATCCACCAACTAAGTGCTAATTAAATGCCCAGAAATCGTCGAAGCATCTGCACAAGAAACCGACATGTCAACTTGAGACCGAGCACTTCGGTCCAATCAATCGACGGGAAAATCTAAAATTCAATTAAAAAACATACTAATTTAGGTGGAAAAAACAGAATATTTTGTGAAGACAACCTTTTCAAGATGTGCAATAATATCCCCTGTTTCCTTATGAGAAGGTAGATATTCATCCGAGTAACTATAGTTGAGATGCAACGGGCGACCTTATTTGTATCATTATTATTATTATTGTTATTATTCTATGGGTTCCGAATGGAATATACGTCTCCAGACACACCTTTCCATTTAATCCTGGGTCGAGTTAAACTTTATGCACAACTGAGTAATAGTGGAGTGCGACCACACACCAGTGAATGACCTTAGAATGCTCAGTGAGCAAGTTGATGAAAACTGGTGAATAATTTTGTAATCATGAATAAAATATGCACAATGAGGTGTTGTGTTATTAAATGGGATATCTTACAAGTTTCAGGTTAGGTTTGAGACAAGTTAGGATTAAGTTAACCCCCTAACGATGGCTACATTAAGGTTGGTTTGAGTTAGATTAGGATTTAGTTTACGGATAATTTCACGTTAGAATTACATTAAGGAAAGATTAGGGTTATTGTTGTTGGTTAGAAGACCTAGGTAATTACATGCATATAATATGGTTTAGTTACTGTGTTGACACTCCAATCCGAAACGGAGAGGCATTATTACCAAATGTCACAGAAAGGTATCCTGTGTAACAATTTCATGCCTCATAATTCATTCAATTTTTCACGAATATATTTATTTTATACGCAGAAATAGTCTTTATCATGTGATTGGTGCGCTCAAGGTCACTCGTCCGTTGGTACTTACTGGTGCTTAAAGTTTAACTTTGCCTCATCCTGTTCTCTAAAAGTCCTCCTCAGTTGTCTTCACAATTGCCTATAAGCTCTAATCTCCTCCACGTCACCCTCGGATGCCCAGTTTTTCGTTTTCCAGTCAGATTCCACTCGAGGGCATGGCGCGTGGTATCATCCGACGGTCTTCTAAAAGTGTTTACCCAATCCATCTATATTCAGTTCCTTTGAAATATTTGTTGTGCGGTAGGTAGGTAGGTTCTTGTTTGGTTCCTTTCCAAAGTTTCTTGTTCCTAACGCTTTCCAGCTAGCTAGCCATCTCATCTTCAGTATATGAAGGGAACTGTTGAAGAAAGTATTCAGTTGCGCGTGTTAGAAATGTTCTTTGTCTGACTGACACAAGCGATAAATTTCTCACCCGTATAGAAAAACAGACTAACTTTTAACAACATTAACGTTGAATATCTGAACCTTTTACTTTATGTAGAGTGAAACAGATTTCAAAACTTAATACAGAATGATGAATGTCTCGTCTTACTTTTCCAGTCGTGAATGACTTTGACATCGTCATCCATTTTCTGTCCCCTGTAGTTAGTTGAAACAATGGGGTGCTGCTGTGCCTAGATAGATAAGTGAGGGAAGTCATCCCTTTTCCAAATGTATTCCGTTGATAATAATGATTTGTGCTTGTTCTGGTTGTTTGTTAGTTGGTTGGTTAGCAGTTATCTTTATCAACTCCCCCATCTTCTTTATGTGTTCACTTGAAGTTGTGTCTTCACTGCATGTGTTCCTTTCTGACAGCTTGTTGGTTTTCGTCTGTAAGTCTTCGAGTGTGTGTGTGTGTGTGCGTGACATTATACGTAAATCATCACCCACACGCGAAATAAAAAGTGGAGATGTGACTAACTGGTTTGAGCACTTGATTTCTAGCCAATGTATCCTAGGATCGAATCCTGCCGTATCTATTCAGGATGGAGAATCCGAGTTTATAATTGATAAAGAATGCTATCTTGCTTTCAACATAGAACTTTGCACCGAGGTGCACCAGTTCAAGTCGCCACACTGCATGTAACACACAAAGCAAGAGAGGAAATGCACAATAGAGACAGTAAACTGAGGTGTGAGACAAAGGAATAGTAATATCGAAGAACAATGTAGTCTCATTTTAAATCATTTCAACCAGTGTAACTTCACAGCCTCGTTGATTGATTTCCCGTGCTCCTTGCATAGCATTCAACCGATGTTTAAACCTCAATATTGCTCAACCTATTATATCACTTCACGCGGGAGATAGAGCTCAGGCACCTATAGTCAAAGACAGCTAATCTTTTCACGTCTTCTACTCTTAATGGTCAGGTCTCACATCCATAAAGGAGAACGGAGCGGACTGCTGAGCAGTACACCCGCCCTTTGGTCGACAGTCAGCTGGATATCACCTCTACGCCTGAGACGGCGTTAACTGGCATATGTGAAATTAACCCTCTGTATCCGTGCTGAGATTCCGTCAGCGATCATCTATTTGGGGGCGTAACTGTTTCGCTGCTGTCAATTTCTTATGTCCATTTATTCGTAAGCATAAATGTGCGCGAACCGGAGCGTGATCAGAGTCCTATAATATTAACATCTTCAATTATATGTGGTCTAGTCATATCAGATATAGTCAACTAAAACAATTTTTTTCCAAAACGCACACACATGCACAACAGAAATATCATGAGAAAGTACAATGTAAACACCCTTATCAAACAACTTACTGAATTGTCAACCATACGACATTTACTTGGAATTGGTGGATTACGTCGATATGCTATCGGTCTTGGTTTTGATGGATCTGGTAGACTAATCAAGAATTTGTGTTAAGGAAAATAAGCAGGGCTTTTGTTGACCTGGCTAAGAATAAACATTATAGCAAACAAAAACATATATTCAAGTGTTGGTTTGTAGGGATTTGGTTGATTGTTTAAAGGATTTTCATCATGAGCTGTCATTAGTTAGAGAACCATTGGGAAACGTGGACAGCTGTTTCCTCCTAGTTTGGACTCTTCATCAGTGCGCACCCACCACGATGGTTCGAACCCAGGACCTTCTGGTTACAAGGCAAGCGAGCTCGTAGACCATTAAGCCACTGGGACCTGATCCAATGGCCAGCCAGCCCATGAACTCTAACTTCTGCCAATTCACGATATAGCGCAACCGCTAGCCAATGTCTTTGGCGAGTATTTGTCCTCACACCCGACGTGCTGCACCCTACTGGTCACGACTTTCCACTAGAACCCCAGGTAACTACCTACCTGAATAGGACCAGTGAGCATCTCATTGATATTCAAGTGTTGGTTTGTAGGGATTCGAAAGGTTACAGGATTTCATCATGAGCTGACATTGGTTAGAGAACCATTAGAAAACGTGGGAGCACTGGATAGCTGTTTCGTGCTAGTTTGGGACTCTTCAGCATATGTGTTGTCTTGCCTAGGGAACAAATAAATGAAGTATAATCTCGTCCTGAAGTCCTACTACTTAGATTTGTCGCGTATGTTTGGAATCTGGTTTTTAAGTAGACTAATAGGTATGTTCGAAGGCCCCGATGCAATGGGAGGCGATCTGGCCTAGGATAACCACCGTCGGATTCAACTCCGAAGAAAGGAAAGTGTCAGTTATACAATGCTATGCACCCCCCAAAAAAAACGCATATTTCGAAAAGAAAGAAGAGTTCTACAGGCAACAATGGACAATACTCCAGTTGGTGACGTTAAAATCCTTATGGGCAACATGAACGCCAAACTGGGACCATACAACACAGGAAGAGAACTTGTCATGGTGGGTAGGGAAGCTCTCGGAGAAATGAATGAAAATGGAGAACTCTTCACTGATTTCTGCTCCTTCAATTAACAAGAGCCTGGCAACAGCGTATACAAACACAATGATATCTACAAGGCTACATGGGTGTCACCAGACGGGAGAACCAAAAACCAATTTGACTTCATGTCAATGCTGCTCAAGGTAGTGAAGGCGCGGCTTACTGAACATAAAAGTAAGAAGAGAAGCAGACGTTGGCTCAGACCACTGTCTTGTACAAGGAACACTCCAAATCAAGTTAAAAGTTTTCAAAGAAACAGAAGTTGTAGATAGACCACAAGCCAAGTTCAATACTCAAAAACTGAAGGAATTCTTCAAAGTGAAAATGGGAGTTAGACAAGACTGGCTGTCTACTATCTCCAATGATTTTATTGATTGCGGTAGACTGGATAATACGACAGACAGCGGGCAGCGAGGAAATAGGCATAAAATGAACCCACACAATAAATTTGGAGGATCTGCATGATTTCGCCGACAACATACATATGTCTGATTTCCCACAAACTGGAATATATGCAAGTGAAAAACAACAGGTTGGCAGAAGAAGCATCAAAGATAGGACTTCACTTCAGGTGAACATAGATAAAACAAAGGTGATGAAGATTCCTCTCCAACAGAAACAACAGACAACAATAAACATAAGTGGGAGGAACTTGAAAGAAACAACCTCATTTGCCTACGTCGGAAGCATCTTTCCAACTACAGGTGGAACTGGCGAAGATATCAGAGCAATAGTCGGGAAAGCAAGATAAGCTTTCACTACTCTCAAGTCTGTGTGGATGTCAACAGCGTGAAAAATAATATCCAGATTTTTAACTCCAATGTGAAGTTAGTGCTAATATACGGATCCGAGACTTCGAACAGACTACAGGCCTTCATTAACACCTGTCTTCGCTCGATACTGAAGATAAGATGGTCAGTAAGGATCAGCAATAAGGACCTCTGGGAGCGAACCAACCAGGAACCCATTGTGCAATAAATAAGCAGGAAGAAATGGAGATGGATTCGCCATACTCTGAGGAAACAGGCCATTGCGAGGGTGACTTGGAGGAGGACGTGTGAAGAGGAGATGAAATCATGTGGGCAGACGTGGAGACAGGTGAAAACGTTGGCAGGAAACCGAACGCAATGGAGACGTGTGTGACTGGAGCCCTATGTTCCTCTAGGAACTAAAGGAATACCTTTGTATAATAATTACGTTAGATGTCTATAATTTTGAATGTAAAAAAAGTGGTCGCATAAAAAATGCACCACAGTTAGATGTGTCATTCTGTACATGTCTCTTGAACTGTGAACCTGTCTACCTTCAAATCAATTCACACTCCCTCTGATTTTGTCTTCAGAGTATGAATAATTGTTTTGACGACAGAAATATTTGAAAATCGAAAAGCACTGGATGATTGATTGCCTCGTTCTAGATTAGGTTTCTCAAAGAGAGTACACAACCACAACTCCACCAGACGTTGACGACGCGAACTTCAGGATACTTAGATTAATCCTTTTGGTCATTCAACGACTAGGTTGAAATTCAATGACGCACAAATTCTAACTTCTGTCAATTCGTCTTTAGCATTCAGCACACGGTTGAAAATTCCCGAACTAAGACAGAATATCTGTACAGTGAGTGCACTTTGCTTCTCAATGATCCTCTAACATTTTGGTTTCCCCCGTTGACTGATTGGACCAAAGTGTTCGGCCTCTGTTGACATGACAGCACCTAATCCGGATGCTTCGATAATGCTTTTGGATTAACTCGAGGCAATATTGTGGATATTGACCAGTAGAGTGGAATCCAGGGTGTATAACTCATCCTTTTTGTGACTCTTCAACTGAACGTACATGCGTTTCTCAGTGAATGTTGGTTTTCCCACTGGGACTCGAACCCTGTACCCATACTTTCAAACGCCAAAGTATATCCCAAGTCGTCTAATGGATAACACTTTGGCGTTTGAAACGGTGGGAACATCATCACCCACTGGGAATTCAGGTGCATCCAGACGACGTGTCCCAGACAGAATGAAATGCGCTCATCCTGGATTGTAGTGCTAGTTACCATTCACCAGTTTTTTTAACTGATGTCGTCTCTCGACACAGTCTGCATTGGCTAAGATTGGAATCCTGCCTTCATCCACCAAAGCCATCTCTTAGGGAACAGGTGTGACTTATATTACATGTTTCAGGTTTATATTGGACCAAAATACTCTCAGTCTCTTTTGAAAGAAATAATCCTTTGTTGGGTTTTGTTGTTTGAGAATTTGTTCAAACTGGTGGTGGTAAGCAGATTTTATCGTGAATCAATAGGACTTTCAGACAAACAAACAAACTCTGAGGAGCAATTAAACAATTGTTTCGTCCTATTTTGAGACTCTTCAGTGATGTATACTCAACAACCTTGTGAAGGAATAAATCTCAGAATCGCTAGGTGATGAAATTAACTTATTATCATTTCCTTAAGTTCCTAGAGGAACATAGGGCCTCAGCCGCGCGTCTCCATTGCGTTCGGTTCTCTGCTAAGGTTTTCACATGGCTCCAGGTCTGCCCACATGATTTCATCTCCTCTTCACATGACCTCCTCAAAGTCACCCTTGCACTGATGACCAATTCGCCGCTTCCCCTTTCGGGTTCCACTCGAGCAATGGCTTGTCTAGTGATATCACTTGATGGTTTGTTTTCTCAGAGTATGGCCTCCAATTCATCTCCATTTCTTCCAGGCTGTTTGTTTCACAATCGGTTCCTGGTTGGTTTGCTCATTCTCCAGAGATCCCTGTTGCTGATCTTTTCTGGCCGGCCATCTGATCTTGAGTGAAGTATTGAGCGAAGACAGCTGTTGATGAAGGTCTGAAGATCTTTGGGCATACAAGATGAAACTAACTTAATCAATAAATAAACTTAAAAGTATAAAAGAAATAGTAGATTTTTGTTTAATGTGTATATAAGCAAAAAGGATATTAGCTATTCTTGCACCGTAACGATATCGTTTTTGGCAATGACATTTACAGTTAACTGTCTGTGATCCAGGTGGTGAGACAGTGATCAACAAGAATAAATTTGTTTTCGGTATTTGTTTAAGCCACCAACGTCTAAAAAAGCGTAGAGGGAAGAGAGAGAGAAAGTAAATTAACAGAAAATACATGAATCAATAAGATGGTCATCTCAAAGTTTTCATATATGAAAAAAAAATTTCGATACACAATGGTTATTTATCTTTTCGGCACTAATATGCATGTATGACCTTTGAGGTTTTTGAATGTCAATCATGATTATGGAAATTTGAACAGCATAGTTAACCTTTGGTTTGTTCTGTGCGTCGGTGGCACAGCGATTAGAACTCTCGCTGACCATGCACATGGTCTAGGGTTCGATCCCCTGCGGACGCACACTTGATATATTTATCGTCGGCCTGAAATATTTGGACTACCGATATCACATGCTCAAAATTCCATACTTGTACCAAAAATACAGTGTGGAATCAAGCTATAATCAAAATTAAAAAAAAATAAATCATAACCAACTTTCCAAGTATTAGTTTTGTAGGGATTTCGATTGATTGCATGGAGGAGTTTATCATGAGGTGACATCAGTTAGAGAACCACCGGAAAACCTGGGAGTACTGGACAACGAGCTGTTTCGTCCTAATTTGGGACCCTTCAGAAGTACGCACCACCTCACGATATTCAAACCCAGGACATTCTGGTTACAAATCTAGCGAGCTTGTAGACGATTGAGCCACTTGCATCCGATCCACTGGTCTTCGAATTCTAACTTCTGCCAATTCACGACATAGCGCGACCATTTCACAATGTATTCTTCGATGAGTTATTGTCTCATGTTCTTACCTTACTGGTTACGACTTCCCACTAGAACTTCAGGTCAGTTGATGATGAAATCCTCCATGCGATCATTCAAAATCCCAACAAAAAACAATACTTGAAAATTGATCTGATGCCCAACAGCCACTTGTCCTATTCAGGCAGTTAACCTGGGGTTCTAGTGGGAAGCTGTGACCAGTAGGGTACAGCAGTTTGAAGATAAGGCAGTAACTCATCGAAAAAGATATTGCGAAATGGTCGCGTTATTTCGTGAATTGGCAGAAGTTAGAATTCATGGGCCGGCTGGCCAGTGGCTCAATGGTCTACGAGCTCACTGGTCTCATAACCAGAAGGTCCTGGATTGGAGTCCTTGTGGTTAGTGCGTACTTCTAAAGAGTCCTAAACTAGGACGAAACAGTTGTCCAGTACACCCAAATGGTTTTCCAGTGGTTCTCTAACTGATTCCACCTCATGATGAAATCCTCCATGCAAAAACCAACTTATTAAGCAAAATTTGAACTTCCAATCAGATCATCCAATAGGAATGAAAGTTTCTGTAGCTGTAAATCTCAGTATAACAGAGCTAGTAACATTATAATAACAGATAACGATGGTGACATGGAGGAAGAGATCTTCAATATAAAATAAATTTTGATTGGAAATGATTACCCGAAAAAGCTGCCAAATAATATTATCAATGAAAACGACCAGATCGATCGATCGATCGATCATAGCCACTTCAGTATCAAAAGGAGACAGCTGAACAACTTCAAACGGTGTTTGCTTCATATAATTTCAGAGTCTAGGTCAAGCCCTATAATTCTCTAGAGAAAGCTTTGGTCACTAGTCAACAAGGCATCTCAGCACCAAACAAAGGACTAGACTACATTACAGTAGTTACTAACTAATTTCCAATATAAGTTATCCAATACAGTCCTACAGGAGGTCAATCCCGAGCTCGAACACTTCAGTGGTAACGTCTTTGATTGCAGACAGCTCTTGGTCACTTGAGTTCGAATTTCAGAAGGGACATAAGTTCCTTCAGGGATACTGATGAGTGCCAACTATTACGAAACCAAGGTTAGACAAGGCTTCCTGTCGATTGCTTCCCACCATCTGATATCACCTAATCAAAATACACACGTGATGGTGAACCACCTAATTGCAAAATCGTGACTAATCGAATTCAATCTGCACCAAACACAGAGGACTAGCCAGACGCATTACACTAGTCACTGACTAGTATCCAATCAAAAGCATGGTCGATTTCATCACCGACCAACATCAGTTAGAGAGATCATTGAAAGCCAGTGAGGAAGTAGTGGGCCGCTGTTGTGTTTCGTCCTAATTTGAGGCTGTCCAACGATGTACACTCTCATCGTGTGCCGGAACCATCATCGGGTTATGAGACCAAAGTTGTTGACCATTAATCCATCATTTCAAGATATATGTATATTTTTCCTTCACGTTCCACAGTGGAATATAAGGCCTCAAGCTAGTGGCTTGAAGTTTCTGTAGCAGTGTTTATTTTTACAGGATGGGATTGCAAGCCTCATGCCTAACCTTTCCTCTTTACCAGCATTATTTCTGGCTTGGCGAGGTAAAAGAGCGCGTCCGCGACCGGGCATCGAACCCCGGACCACGTGCGTGGTTGGCGAGCGTCCTAACTGCTATGTCACTGACGCATATATATATATATATATATATATATATATATATGGCGCTATTATTACTATATTGGTTCCCTTGGGTTCCTAGTGGAACACAGGGCTTCAACTGCACGTCTCCACTTGCCACTTCTGTCTTCTGCTGTACTTTTCACATGCATCCGTGTTAGTCCATACTGTTTCAATTCCTCCAACTAACACGATCTCCTCCATGTCACCCTTGCACTGACGACCCACTCGCCTCTTCCCTTTCGCGCTCCACTCGAGTGATGGCCTGATGCGTGTGCAATGTCACCCAACGGCCTCCTTAGCGAGTGTCCAATCCATCTCTTCACTTTCTCCTGCATATTTGTTGGTTGGCGGTTGGTTCTTGTTTTGTTTGTTCCCATAATTTCTTGTTGGTGGTGATTCTTTACGGCCCGGCCATCTGATCTTCATTATAGAGCAAGGACAGTTGTTGGTGAAGGTCTGCAACAGGCTGTTGGAAATATTCTTTGTGACCCGCCCGCCAAGTTTCTGATCCGTATAGAAGAACTGACTGACTTGGCGTTGTTTGTATTGAAAATCCGACCGAATTTTGTTGTTGATGGTGAGTTGAGTGACGAAAATTTCCAAATTGGTTTCAGGTTGATGAATGTGTTTTTCGCCTTCTAGATTCTCGCTCGATTTGACATCCTCGTCCGTTTCAACTGCCTGTATTTGAGAGACAATGCTCCCTAGATGATAAGTGAATGAAGTAACCTCTTCCAAATCCCCCCTGTTGATGGTGATTGGCACTGGATTATATATAGCACTAGACTCAAGCAAATGCGCCTCATCGACTCGTATCCACTTAGAATTCACAAGTCATTGAATCTACACTGAAACTAACCCAGATTACTAAAAAAATCCATAATTTAAATAATTATTCATTACATATCATGTGGCATTTAACATAACATTTATTCGCGTGTAATGTGATTGGTGGTTTTTGTTCAAGGTCGTTATTATTATTATTATTATTATTATTATTCGTACGGTCTCGGTTTAACCCGGTTTTTTTGAAAAAACACTCTACGTCCTACATTTATTTTTATTTTCATATCATAGCAAATAAATAAATAGAGTGACTAATAAATCAAATAATGAGATGAATACTATTTGGCTTGATAATGATGTAAGTCGAAAAATGGTCTCAGCCAAAAAATGAAAAAACAGAAAGAAAGAAACCATAAGATGAATTTTGGTCTTTATAGATAAGAATTTATTTAGATAAAGTCCCAAACAGTGGAGTGTTGTTATACAGTGATATTTACTACTGATGATTACAGGCTTCGAGCACAAATTATTACTGCTCATAATCTCATATCAAGTCACTCACTCGCTCACTCACACTACTTCCTTGCTTCGTCGTTTATATATATATGAGAGGAATTGATGATTAGACATTTGAATAAAAATCAATATAGGATAATCTACGTTCAGAAATATTAATGATATGAGTGTTATCAATCAAATACAATCAGATGGGAAGTAAGACGAGTGTTTTTATAGTCAAAATAAATAAGTAACTTGTTAGAATGTTGTGATGTACGTGAATTGAACTGAAATAGAATTTTAAGATTATTTATTATTCTCCTCTGATTTGGCTGACTGACTGGTGGTAATAATATCTTCCATATCTCTGGTATTTGTTGCCTTGAGTCATTTCTATTGCACATGTGTTGGGTGTAGACTCGATGAACCGGGCAGCATTCAGTAATCAACCCTCCCTCTCTCTCTCCACCTACCTAGATTACGTTTTAGAATTTTAACCCTCTAACACCCCATTGTGTGGCTGTGTTAATGCGTGAAGTGCAATTTGTGGAAAATACTCATATGGACATTAGAAAAAAGAGAACACGAAGTTCAGCAAAGATATCTTTTCGGCGATTTCATTATCAAAAGCTGTACAATCGCATTTTATATAGATTATTTTACATGGATACAATTATTATTTGTTTAATTAATTCCACATAGTAACGAAGGTGATAATAATTTTCAACTTGATATGAATCACAAGAGGCTTAGAAACGCAGGGATAGAACCAATTACAGGTGTGAACAATATATATATATATATATATATATATATATATAAACGACGAAGCAAGGAAGTTGTGTGAGTGAGTGAGTGACTTGATATGAGATTATGAGCAGTAATAATCTGTGCTCGAAACCTGTGGTCATTAGTTAATATTACTGTGTGATTTATCAAAATAAAATCTTATCCTTAATGGAGTTATACTCTACGATAGTGCCTAGGTGAATACAAATTTGAATTAGGAATTCATTCATCCATTGATATTTGAGCAGACTGCACTACTATTCACATAGAGCAGATGTAGCTGGCATCTTCCAGACTACACACTTAGGTAAATATCGATTAAACTAAATTTGACAAGCTAGTTTATGATAATACCACCACAGTGTTTGAATTGTTTGTACTTCGACTAGAGTCATAATGAAAAGAATCAACACAATAATATATGCAGGTATATTGAGCTAACGATTCTCAAGTAGAATGAACTTCACATTATGGATAATCCAGCTAGGCGATATTAGACATCATATAATGTATATCAGT